GCGATGCCGGCCGACACGTGATCTTGCCCCTCGCAACTTTTGCGTACAGTCCGCATCCATTTATTCTATCTTCATTCTCGATAAACTCTTTCCACGCTGTGCGCTTAGCGCGAAGCTGTTCCTTCTTGAACTTGCGCTTTGTAACATGGTATTCCAATCGATAAGCATCTCTAGTAAAAGGGTCCCGGCAGCGCTGGGAACGTCGTCTAACTCTCTTTCAGTTCAGCAAGCTTAATACTCCACCAGGCCGGTCCATCTACCTTTTCATTCTTCTTGCTAAGTCTCTCTGGGCCTTGGACCAAAGCTGTAGTGAGTACCGCGACCTTTTCGTCAATGGCACCAATATCTGCATCAGACCAGAGTGGTATTTCCTCCTCATGCAATAGATCCCCTCTTACTAGGTTTACTAGTTCGTCGTTAGTGAAACAGGCTAAGCGTATCCTTTTCTTCTTTAGTTGTTGTGATTGGTTTGAGGTGGTCTGTAGGTTCAATCTCAGCAAGGCATGGTCACTTCGGGTGGCATTGATATCTATGTGGAAACGCACCCACTCGTCGATGCAGTGACACCAATACCTGGTCCACGGCAGACTCACCTTGATCTGCACTATACGTGAATGGCGATTCCTCTGTATTCAAGAATAGACATTTTCTTCCTCAATTGTAGCCATCACGGCTTCTCCACACCTGTCAATATTGGTATCTCCCCAAGCCGGGCTGTGTGCATTGAATTGCAGCTACAAGAAATTCTTCGCCTGCCCACTCTATGAGGCAGCATGCCATGTCGCCATTACATTCTGGCAATGAGATAACCTTGATGTTATTATTTAGGATATACACAGCCGCCCTGAGACGTACTGCAGTTCGCGAACGGACTGCACGAGCAGTTAGTCCCATTGCAGTGTCTATTTCTTTCTACCAAGGTTCCTGTGTCAGGACAGGATGCACTCCCTGTTCCACTGATAGGACTCACGCCTCGTCCATAACCGTCTTGGAACCATGGCAATTTAGCTGTGATAGCTTACGAGGGGCTTGCTCATGCTTATTTTTTGAGCGAATCATAGGTAAGAAATAGAAGCTCCTGCTTTTACTTATTGCTACATTTTCTATGTTCTTGTCCGCTGGTGGGTGCTGCTCCCTGGGGGTTTTGGGAAGTGACTGTTCATCATTTCCCAACACAAGTGGCGCTTTGCCATAATCAGTAGAACTTTTAACTTTAATTATGGCTTTATTACCACAACCTCTGGTGCCAGCTTGATGCTGGTGACTTTTCCCCATGCGCAAACAGTTTATGCATTTTAGGGCAACAGTCGTGCATGCTATGGTGTCATGGAGCTCAGCGCAGCGTCCACATACGATGTCTTTCTTTGGACATGTAGAAGCAATATGGCCATAGCTTTGGCACCTATAACACCTTGTGACATCGACGCAGCCCTTCACAACACATGACTGACAGTCCAAGTAAAGCTTGCCATTATCAAGTATTTTTCAGCGGGCTTCTGCTGGAAATTCCACTACCCAGGAAACGAAGGTAGAGGCTTGCCTCGGGCCGCCTCCGTACTTAATTGTATATAGCGGCCTGACTTCGCTGGCGCCTTGTTCCAGGAAATCATTATTTCCAAGGAGCTCGTCTCTGAGCTCTGTTTTGCTGGTGTCCTTAGGGACCCGAAGAATTAACAATCTGGTGTTTCTTTTTCCCATAGGGCGTGGTTTCAGACCTGACTCCGAAAGCAATGTCATAGCCTTGCCCTTGTCAGCTTCCCCTTGAAGCTTAATTGCCACTCCTCCTTTAACTGTGGCTCTTACATCTTGAATTCTGATCTTCGTTGTCCTATGATTAAGGAGGTCCTTTTCAGCAATTCACTCGACTCCATGCCTTCAGGTGAGTCTACAATTGCTGTTTTCTAGCATGGCCTTGTCAATGTCTACCTCTGTGATATCACGATCTTTTTGTTGTTTTCCATTCTTTTTAATATTGTTCCTGATGAATTAGCATCATTATTATTGGAGTGAATGACATTACTTACGATACATTATCATTCATTTGTTTTGACTGACCTTGCGTAATCTTATTCTTTTGTTAATCCGCAGAGATGGCTTTTCAGAGTCCTTACTTCCAATCAACCCAACAACTCTGCAAAGCTCATCCGCAATACTATCAAAGGATGGAGCCAGGCCTGCAGCAATCTTGGTCGAACCATTTTCAACTGCAGAAAGCTGTGCATTGTGGTTGCTTATATGCTGTACGATGCCCAACAGCTTGTCAATCCTCTCACCTACAAACTGTGTCGCAGGCTTGAGACATTTATTCTTTCGATCAATCGTGTACTGCGAAATTTCAGCACATGATTCTTGTGCTTCTGCGCACGTTTTTGAATGTCTAGTTTCGGGGGATTCCATCATACCCCAGATTCAGAAGGCATGTCGTTACTCCTTGAGTCATCTATATTAATGTCCGAAGTTAGAAATCAAGCAGTCGGCAGCTGCCACTCGCGTGTTCACATTAAACATTCAAAAATGATGTCACTGGATAGATATGAGGATGGAGAAAAAATGATGAATGGAAAAGATAAAAGAAGATTAAGAACAACAGTATGAAGATATAGACAAACAGGGGAAGAAAATGTCAATGAAGGAATGAATAGACAGCAATGAAAGATGACAGCAGAAAAGCAATGAGGAAATTAAAGATGACATGCACTAGTGGGTAACGCAATCTAATTGAAGGATGAAGAGGAAGACAAAGCTTGAAGTGAGGAATAAAAGGTTAAGGAGGGAGAAAGATGTCGAAAGGATAGGTATTTCAATGAAGAAGAATGAATAACAATGAAGAGAGAAGGGAGAGAAAAAGATGCCTCACGTAGTAGAGGGGAAGGGTATGCGTAGTATAGGAGAAAAGATGTCAAGAGGGATGTCAAAAGGAGATGTCAATTGAAATGATGAAGATGAAGAATAGAAGAGAAGGGAAGGGGAGGGGCAAATGATGTCAGAAAAGGAAGACTCCCGAAAAGATGCCCACCAATGAATGACAAAAGATGCCAAATTTGGAGGTAAAACAAACGACGAAAATTTGAAGAGGCCTGTCATCCTGAGGACTACGCCGATTAAATCCTGATATCAAAGGATCAAGGATCGATGGCGCTCAAAACCAATCAATTTTCGGACGTACAAATTGAGCGCGATTAAAGCACCAGCTTCTCATTGGAACGGGATATCAGCGGGTTCACTTTTGCAGTTCATGTCGAGAGACGTGGTTGTAGAAATCCTTCAACCTGAGGGCTCGAAATCCGGACGTTGCAAAACAACTTACTGTGAGTAGGAACTATCTTTTAAAAAAAAAGGCCAAAATATGTAGGTACGTGGGACATAAATTGGGGTCGCGTCAGCCAGGTACGCAACACCCGTCTCCGACGGTTCACTCGCGGCGTGGAACTCCCCCGACTTTTGATTTTCCTTTCCACCCCTACTCCGGTAGAGATACTGGCATAAAAAGGGATTATTTGGAAATCAAAAGCTAGTCAAACAAGTCGTCAAACATAATAAAACAAAGTCAGTCTCTGCTGGGTCCCAGAACATGTAGAAGGGAACGAGCGGACACCCTTACAAGAAAAAGGGCTGCTATACCGCTGATAGGACCCGAGCCCTTCTGTAGCGTAAGAATCCACACTATCAATTACACTTTAGACAGAAGGATAAAACTGAGGAATAATGGATCTCACTCATTGGACATTTCTAATTTTCTTCTTCTAACAAACTTTGGAAGGAAAAAGGTAACAGAATGTATTAAAGGAAGCCGAAAAGACTGGCATAACCAAACACGGCTCGTGCTGATTCTGCAAAGAAGAGGAGACACCAACACACCTAGGTGCTATTAAACTGTGGCGCTACACTTGCTCGTAAGAGGAAGTGTTTTGGGAAGTAAACCATAGAAGAAATTCAACCAATGAAACCGGGCCTATTAATCAGGTCCCTTGATGAACTAGGACTCACCGTGTGCTATAAGCACAGAGCGGGGATACAACAGCACTTAAAGGGCGCAGTATAATATTCACTCCGACTAATACATCTACATCTACCTGTTATTTGACACTGTATAAGGCTATATTTTGAAGGTTCAAAAAACTAACAATATTTTCATTTATACATGACAACTGAAATTAACTGACAATTACCCTAGCAATTCCCGCTTTAATTTGTATGGTGACTAACAGCGTACAGGCCTGTATTTTGCCAGTCCAGATAACAAATAAGATTTTCATTTATATGTGACAACTGAAATCAACTGGCAATTTTTATGAGTTAGACATCATAGCTGCATAACACAGACGATAGACGGCGGATTGTCTGGCAATCTTACTCAGTTAAAAACAACACAGACTAACATTTCCCTGTTCAATTCAATTCAGTTCAATGACTACATTTTGACTCCTTACATGCGTATATTTTGACAATGTCGATTTTAGTTTATAGTATAGAATAAAAAAACGAGAAAGGGGAACAAATTTCTAGGTACTGGTTAGGCCCTGCTTGTTACCCTAGAATCGAATTATTTCCAATTTGTTAGAACTTTTTTAAGATGTGTTAATTAAAATGTTAATGAATCTACTTGTATAATAATTAATGGTTGGATTGCGATAAATAGATTGTATTTTGTTAGTTGTAACTTTTGTTCCCTTCGAACATTTGACACGTTCACCATTCTAGCCTATTTGACCTTAAACCTTAGAAGGCCTCCGATACTTTATCGACAGGACGGACGTAAGTGCAATATTAGTTTATCTAGGGAACTTTTATCGTCAAATAACGTCGAGAGGGCTGCCCCAAATAGGCCTGGTCTTAGGAGCAGATAAAGAAAAAGGTGTTTTTCGATCTTATTTAGATAGACATTCAGGGCAAACGAAAATTGTGGAGAATAGCCCTGAGTAAGACGGTGCGAATAGAGCAGGACCTCCAGGGAAATTGTAAGATTACATAAACAGAATGGAAAAGTGTCTGTAGATTACCTGCTTCGTTTAATTTCGATGTCCAGTTGGTAAGGCACATGCTGCAGGCTGCGTGAAGGCATTCGAGAAGCTTTGAGTTTTCCTTCCCGGTGAACGTCGTATTGCAGAAAACGCATTTGAGGAGCACCCACGGTTCGTAATTTTCACTCGGTGTAACCGTGTCACTTTCGACCACCTCCGTTTTCCCGACGGCATCCTCCGACTCCTTTTCCGACATATCACCGTCTCACTCGAGTAAATTATACCGAACGAATCACGACGGCAGGGCAGAAGACGGCCGGTTGTCGTTATAAACAATGGAAAAATGTCAGTGAGGACGATAAGCCCGATGGACAGGAAGGCTATGCCAGTCTGCCGTTCCCGACGTTGTCGTGCAGAGTGCGCAACTCACAAACCCCCGCCGCCGGCTCCACAACAAGTGGATCCCCCAGTGGAAATGCCGCTATGGAAAATGATCCACCGACTCTCACTCTTCCATTCCTCTCCCAACGAAGCAACAGGCTTCCCTAAGTTATTAAATTATTCACGTTTTATTCCGACCGCGAAAATTTCTCCTTTTCAAAACATAAAACCCAAATTTGCTTACTTTTACTGGACATTTTTCACAGTCCTACACGCGTTACTGCTCTTTGGTTATACCATCCATTAACGAAAGATAATTATTCAGAAATCGTGACAGGCGGTCTGGTGTGATCTAGGTTTGAGAAAAACATTTTCTTTATCGTGCCAACGTTTCGATCTTTATTGAGATCATCTTCAGGGCCTGGGATTTACAAACATTGTTTAAATTTAACAAATACATGTAGGATGTGGAAAAAAGTGAATTTATACAATGCAAAAAAATATATATTTGTTATATTCAATCAAAGTATTTCTATTTACACAAAGTGTTTGTTTTCTGCGTAAGTGTGCCATTCTTGCGTGTCGTGTTGGGAGTGCCAGTGAGATTGCTGTTTTATGTTTATATATGTTGGATTTTGAAGGGGTGGGGAAGGAAGTCGGTATAGAAAGACATTTTTGTATAAGAAGTCGGCGTCTTTGAGGTGAAAAATGTTTTTCTGAAACCGACATCACACCAGACCGCATATCACGATTTCTGAATAATTATCGACTAACGGTCACTAATCACCACACATTAACGAGAGAGGAAAAAGTCCAATAAATCAAAGAATAGATGAAGTGGGTATAATTGAACATGAACTCTTTGAATAATTATATCATGAAAACAAATTTTTAAAATTCAAACAGCGCTGGCTACCATTTTGAACACCAACACAATTTCGATTTCAACAATCCAAAACTATTAAACACAGAACAAAACGTACATAAACGTAACTTTTTAGAAATGGTTTAGATCAACAGAGATAAACACAGCATCAACTACAGAACAGACATATGTAAACTCAACCGCAGCTACGATAATATCATAAATCAAATTCAATATTAATAACATAAATATAACACACAAAACATATCACAAAATATAAAATAATCATAAACAATTCTACAGTCTAAATCTCTAAAATTGATCTCTGCTTTTCCTAATAATCCCGTCTATAATAATCCTGAAAGGCTAACTAGACCCGAACGACAAACCATTGCCATTTTTTCCATTGTCGGTCCCTTTCATGTCAAAGAAACTCATAGAAACTCCTCATAGAAAAATGAATTTCTATCCTCACTTCCTTCCCCACTCCTTCAAAATCAAACATACATAACCAAAAATCAGACATTAATACTCACTAACACTCCCAAAACGACACACAGCCGTGAAACATCTACACAGAAAACAAACACTTTGATTGAGTACAAATACTATGATTAAATATAAAATTTCTATATTGTGTACATCATTGTATAAATTCATATATCTTATATCTATATGTATTTGTATACTTATATCTATATGTATTATAAGATATGTATTGACATATCTTATATGTGTTTGTATAATTTAAACAATGTTTACAAATCCCAAGCTCTGAAGATGATCTCAATAAAGATCGAAACATTGGCACGATAAAGAAAATGTTTTACTAAACCTAAATCACGCAAGACCGCATCTCACGATCTTTAAATAATCATTACGTAACGGTCAACAAATATTACACATTTTTAAATCATTTCCGTGCCCCTTTTATAGGTCGAAGAACCACACTGTCGGCTGTCAAATTAACCCTTTTTAACTTTAAATTAACCGTTTTTTAATTTCTAATTAACCTTTGTTAACTTCAAATTAACTTTTTTTAACTTTATATTAACCTTTTCTTTTAAGCATTAAAATCATTTAAGAGATAGTTTCTAGGTCCCGGGCCCTTCTGTGGCCTAGTATCTTGCCACAAAAAAAGGACATATCCAAAAATGGATCCTTAATGAATCCAAAACCAAGGCATGAGGCACGCGAAGAGATTCATAGAAAACTTACAAAGCATTTACTGAAAGGCAACCGTAACCGAACCAGGGAATTCTGGTAGGATTCCTGACAGGGCACTGCAGCCTAAGAAGGCACATGCCTCGGATAGGAGTACAGTCAGAAGAAACCCTGTGCATACACTGCCAGGAAAAAGAGGAGACTGCAGAGCACATTTTATTTTTGTGAGGTGTGTCTATGTAGGTGCAGATTCTTGCAACTAAGAGAAGAAAAGCCGCTGGCAAGGCTATGGAGGTTGACTGATGACTCTGGCCAGAGAGTTATAAAAAAAAGAGCACAATAGATCTACTCAGGTCGAGGTGCAGAAGGCCTTGTAGCCGCCTCTTTTATCCCTATCGCTATCATTAATAGTTTGTTTGAAATACTTAAAAGCATGGAAAGTTAAATTCCTGTTCATTTGAGGGCTTCTTTTTTTTAAATATAAAATAATTCGCCTCTTAGATCATATGAAAATCAATTAAAATTATAAGTTATGCAAAAATAATTACAAAAACAAATTATTTTTCTTTCAGATTCAGTTCAGAGAAATATATATAAGATATATGAAAAACTACAATCAAAGTTAATTTGAAGTTAAAATGATTAATTTGAAATTGGAAAACGATTAATTTGAAGTTAAAAAGAGTTAATTTGACGGAAAAGTTACACTTTTTAATTATTGCTGGGTGTTGATCTGCGAGTCAGTGAAAAAAAATTGAAATTAGGAAAGGGTAATTGGAAGTTAAAAACTGTTAATTTGAAATTTGAAAAAGGTGAATTTGAAGTTAAAAAGGGTTGATTTGACGGGAAAAAAGATATAATTTTTAATTTTAATTGTAAGTTATTTCACATGGGCTTATAAAAGTCCATTTAATTTATATTTTAAAAAATTGCATATATAATTACATTTTGTTTCATACCATCTCCTAAGTTTTTATTATGCATCAAATAAAGGGATAATTTGAAATTAAAAAAAGTTCATTTACTAAAAAGGGTTAATTTGACGGAAAAAGTTTTACTTTTTAGTTGATGCTGGGCGTTGGTCTGCGAGTGATGCTGTACCCACTGGGCCACTTATTGGGACCGTCTTCACGTGCTGGTTTGTTGATCTACTCAAATGCGTTTCGGCATTGGGCCATCTTCAGTGAGGGACTTTTTAGGTGCCATTAATTTTTATATGGCATTACAAGAGTTCACTTATTTTATATTTTAAAAAATTCGCAAATGTATGAGAATTTGACTTTGCTACAATATCTTCGCTTATATTTCATACAATTAATTTGAAATTAAGAAAGGGTAATTTAAAGGTAAAAACGGTTAATTTGACGTAAAAAGGTATGCTTTTTAACATTAATGTTTTATTTTCATATGGTCTTGTAAAAGTCAAATTAATTTATATTTAATTATTAAAGAAAATCACAAATACACTACATTTTATATTTCATCCTGTCTCCTAAGTTTTTTAGTGCTTTAAATAATGGGTTAATTTAAAATTAAAAATGGTCTATTTGAAGTTAGAAAGGGTTAATTAAAAATTTAAAAAAATTAATTTGAAGTTAAAAAGGTGTTAATCGTAAAAACGAAAAGTACTGAATCGATTTCGATGAAACTTCCACACTTTTGTTTTTATTTGTGCCGGGCGGGTTTAGAGACTATTAAATGGACATATGGCAAATAATGGATGTCCGGATTTCCAAAAAAGAAAAATAACTCTTTTCATTATCTCCCTGGGCAATGCCGGGTTATAAAGCTAGTAGTCTTATAAAAGTTAATTTATATTTTTAAAAAATCGCAAATATAATTTACATTTATATTTAATATCTCTTAAGTTTTTAATGCTTCAAATAAAGGGGTAATTTAAAATTTAAAAAGTTTATTTAATTCTGAAAAGGGTTAATTTGGAGTTTTAAAAAAGCGTCATCCGCAGTGACTTGTTAATAAAGGTTTCTCGACGTACATACTAACTATTCATACTACAATATAAGCAAACCGGTTCCATCAAAAATACATAACGATAAGGGAGGCAAAACCATTGGGAAAGCACCATGAGCGAACCATTTTCAAATCCGTGCACATAGACCCGGAAATACACTGGAGAAATTTTACATAGCTATAAACATCAACGTGACTCCTCTGACTACAAATGCCAACCTTCTGTTCGAGTTGACACCGGTTTCGACTAAATCCTAACTATATTTGTTCCGTGTTTTAATTCATAAAGTTTCACAGCACATTCTATACAATTTGAGACGGTAAAGATGCCCAGAATTGAAACGAAGTTATGAAATAGCTAAACACTTTAGAGATAACACGTCAGCAAAATCCAGTGGTCCAGGCTCACCCCCTTCTTAGTTGTTTTGTTACGAGCGATTACTTACAATTAATAAAATTGGTTTTAAAAAATAAGCAAAATGTTGGTTAGGGGTGGTTAGAGAAACAAATGTTCTTGGAAAAGAACATATGTGTTTGATGGAATCTTCTTTTGAAATAGGTTGTTTGCAAGGATGACCCGAGTCTTGATTCCATTTAGATATAAAATTTTACCCAATATAACAATGTACTGAAGCCTCACTCACGAGGCACTAGATACCTAAGATGCCATGCCAACCTGTTGGATAACGGGATTCAATTCGAAATAAAAGCAAATGCGACTGTCGATTGAAAATTTATTCTAAGATCTTGGCCCATAAATTTCAAACCCGTTTTAACAAAGAAAACATTGTGTTTGAAGTTATTCTGCAGTCGCAGCATTGAACGTCCATCCAGCATTCAGCCTTATCCTCGATCTTTAATTTTACCACTCATGGCCACTCATTCTCCCCCCTTTTAGTTTTTTAGTCTCTGAACTAAATAAGCCCTTATCCTCTCATCAATCCATCACTTCTGGAGTGCTTCAAGGTTCAAGCAACCCGCTTCCCTTTTTTGCTTACATTGATGACTTACATAAATGCTTGCATACATCACGCTTATATGCTTACAT